CTGTCTGTGCCAGGAAACATGGTGACAGATCACACAACATGTAACTGCAGCACTCTGAATTACAAGAGGAGAGGAATCCTACCAAAGGATCAGCACTTTAGATATGGGCTGGGTCAACAAATATGGACCTCACGAGTATATATTTTACTTCATTTACATGAACATTACATTACATAAAAAGGCTGGTTGGGCATCTGGTGTAAAAATCTTTTCCAAATAAAAATGTAAATACAGAAAAGCTCTGTAAAGCAAATGTAAAACTAAAACTGCATGGCTCTTCTGTATAAGATACTTGGTAAGGAGGAAATGAGTGAGCAGTGATGTTTGTGCCAATAGACCATTCATCATCAGTCAGTCCATCTCTTTATCCTCCATGATACTCTCTTTTTTGTCTCTGTCTCTGTCATGGTCATTGGTGACAAAACCTTGACCAAAAAATAATGGTCAAAGCCAACATACAGTTTATCATATACTCATTTATCTCATTCACAAACAGCTGCCATGATAAAGAGATGTTCTGAGTTAAGTTGTTTTAGCTGACTGGTATAAGCCACACAGTATTCACTTCACCCATGTGCCAGTAGTAAGTGTTTATATCACAAGACTATTTTCGCCCCATCTGTCGCAGTCTGTGTCTGTGAGGCTGGCACTAGAATGAATTAGGGTCCCTCCTCTTCTTTCTGTTGTCTGTGATGGGCAGAGCTGCCATGGCCAGGGTCATCTTCCATTTGAAAGACTGTTTTATGTCTCTCACCTCCCCTTGTCTCCCTGTTTCCCTCGGTCGCCCTCTCCCACTGTGTGCATGGAGGAACTGTCGGGACAGAGCCCCTGTTTTCCAACTGTCTGCAAATGTAATACAATGCCTGGTGGCCTTCACTGTACAATTCTTGACATTATAAATGTTTCAATCTAAAGTCTGGACAGATATGTTACTTCAGGAGGGAGTTCAGGGTTTGTAGAACTTCATAGGTTCACACTTTGTGATATAGTGTTATAATAATCTGTGAAATTGTAGATGGTAATAAATAAAAGTGTGCATGCAATACAAATTAAGATGAGAATAGAGATCATTTAATACATTTTACATGTATTTTTCTGTATGAACAAAACTTTGAAATCTAATTTTCAAATCTACTAGAAACTAGAAACCATAATCGTATGTACCCTAATGAGGTTTAAGTAATTTTTAACCATTTAATCAATGTGACTGATCCCATTGTCGAGTCCTGATGAAGTTGAGTTTATAGCCTCAGAAAGAACCATGAACTCGGAGAGTGCAGACCAGTGACACTGAGCAGCCCAGCCCTCGTAGCCTACAGGGTGGGGGTGCTGCATGTTGTGGTCCTATGCAGAGTGAAGAGAGGCAGTCGGGGGCAGAGCGTGCTTTGTGCACCAGCCCTTTCCCACACTCCCTTTCACCTTTTGTTGTATGGCAGCACCGGGGCTGTCTGACATGACGAATCACTGTGTATGCCCATAGCACAGCACACACCGCTGGACAGGAACAACTGCTAACAGAGGCCTAAAAAAGATGTAGCTCTTTTAATTGTGTCCAGTCTATTTCTCCTTCTGAGTTCTTTCACTTCTCATAAGCTGTCATTGTGCAGCGTGGAGCTTCACATGAGCAGATATCAAAGGAGGATGGAACAGTGCGAGTACAGGAGAGTATCATGGCTCTGCCCACATGCCAGCACCATGCACCAAGCTGCTGCCCAAAGTGTATGGCCTGTCACAATAGAGCCATTAGCACATGAGTGAGTGGCTCTGAATGGGGCGGGGGGTGTGGGTTTGGAGAGTGCAGGCAGAGGGGGGTGTTCTGTCATCACCTCTGCCCCCTGTCACCACGCTGCGCCTGCCAGTGCACATGGAGCCAACTCCTGCCTTTGCGCACACACTCACTTGTACTGACTTTCAAATGGGCTTTCCCCAGAGCTTTGTTTCTGGGCACTGGAAGACTGATACTCAAGTAAGTGAGCCAAACTTTGAAACATAAAAAAATAAATAAATGGCATATTTTTTCTATTATCAAATCAGTGTAGGTTTCACCACTATCTTGCCTAAGGTCCATAGTTGCTGAAAGGAGAGTGATGGAGGAGTTTCACTCCTGATTCAGTGCAAATCTGAGTTCATTCACTGAGCAAAGCACCTGGTATACACAAAATCATATTACTGTGACAAATATGTGTGTGTGTGTGTAAAGTAAGAGGCTAAAATGTAATATGTAACTCTGGCATCAATCTTATTTTAATGATACATTGAATTTGAAGTTTACTCTCAAAGAAGCCACAAAGCTCTCATAAATGCTCACAACACATTGTTGATCTCTATGCAAAGACTAGCATAGAGTTAAACCATTGTTGGCCAATAGGTTAATGAATGTCTCATTTAGTTGTAAAAGAGCAATAGTGCTCCTTAATGAGCAGCTGTGTCTCTACTGGCAGGGGGTCTGGGCTGGAATCTAAAAGTGAGGAGCCAAAATGGAAGATGGAGGAGGTTAATGTTTGACCTCAGCAGGCCACACAGGGTTAGAGGTGAGTTTTCTGAACAGGGAGAATGGCCTTAAAGAGAACTCCACATGCAAAAGGAGGATAGGAAGAAACGGCTTCCTTTTGCAATAAACAAAGACAGAGGAGGCAGACTTGATATTGTTGTGGGCTTTTGTCAGTGTATGTGAGACAGTCACGCAGAGGTGATGCTCTACACTGGCAGATTCACTCAGTCACACAGCATGAGCTGTGGGTACATGTTGGGGGCATGCACATGGAGTGTGTATGTGGGTGATGGGGCGAGCAAGCTTTAGAGTCACATTGTCACTTCTGGAATGCATGGCAGCCATGTTTTGTTAGGGTATGCATGAGTGCAGTGTCACCACAGCAGAGGGAGAACACAGGAGGAGGAAGAGGAAATAAGGAGTTGTATTTTAGCCCACTTTACATCTTCGCCCTGGAAATTAGGTCACTCAAGTATAAAGCCATTGCATAGAACAAATCATCATCATAATTGGACTCTTAACAAATGAGAGAAGGTGCAGGCAGCACAGACACACATGTAGAGCTGCACATAAGAGCCGCGAGCAGGAACATGGGACTCCAGCATAAATCACAGCACATGCCTGACACCTTTATAGCTCTTTCAGGAGCCTCATTTGGGACAGAAGCAAGATAGAAGAATGTTACCCGCGGTAAATATAATTGTGGTCATGATCTTTCCATAAATCAAGATGTGGTTGCATCACTTTTGACTGCTTATGCTACAGAGATGTCCTAAGGGATAGGTGACCTAGGGGCATCTAGTTGTCTCTTCATAGAAAAACAATTAGAAAACCATAGTCCATTTTATATATGTTTTAAATTAATACAAAGGCTACTCTTTAAGAATGGTCTGTATGGTTGTAGGATATTACACTGCAAAACGTAATATCTAGGTAAATTCAAATGACTCATTTAAGATTTTACTTGATTCGAGTAGATTTAACTTGACATGTAAAATGCTCTACCAACTGAATTATTACTTTTTTCTTAATATAAACAACATACTTATTTTAAGAGAAAAGAGTTCTTGATTTTCTTAACTTCAGTATCACTAGTTGTATTTTCCTATTTCAACTACAAAAAGTCTTGTTCCATTGGTAGATAATTTTATTTGTCATATATAACATCTTCTTAAGTCAAGTCATTTTAACTTGGCACAATATTAATTTTTGTAGTGTAGGTGCAGAGGAAACAGGGATTGGCGCCTGACACCTGACCAGATGAAGATGCACATCACTTCTCTGTAGGAAACAGATAATATGTTGTGGCAGCCTTGGTGTCAAACGCTATAGGAGGTAAGAAAAACTGTTCTGAACCACAGCAGCTTTCGTCTGAGTTATTGACACAGATTGACCTTGTATCTCGCGACTCTTCTGTGCTCATTTTACATGACAGAGTGCACACATCACTTATTCATGTCTGAAGAACAACAGGCAGGGCACATAAACACCAGAGACCAGTTTCATACATGGCATATAGGCTGAATAAATCTCCATACAGAAAATGTTATTGGATTCTCGTGTGCATGTCAGGAACGCTGCCTCCACCACATCAACCAGACTAAGACAGAAGGAAGCCCAGGCTGACACTAATCCTGTAATTGCCATGTCGCTTATCAAAATAATTGACAGTATTTTCCACAGTGATACGGGACTGTTTATCTTGACCATGGTGACTCTTAAAAACTAATGAGTACTGCTGGCTTTGTTGTGGTTTCTCAAGAATGGTGGGGCATGAGCGGTTTTGAAGATCACAACAGGAGATAAATAAAACAAATAAAAAGCGGTTTTAAGTTGTTGTTTTTTGTCATTATTTTATTCAGAATTATACTGTGGCCCAAATGACAGAGAAACATTTTAGCAAAATATTTACATGATTACTTTATTAATATCAGTTAATTAGGTAAATCAAGGCAAAAAAAAAAGGTCAGTACTGAAGAATACATTTTTGATTTGGCTACAAACAATGTCTTGTCCAATCTGCTTTGTGCATTGATTAGTCTTTACTGATTATGAAAATTTGCTGTAAAATATTCATATTTTGGTGTCAATTGTGATGTTAATAACTGACATAAAACAATATGTCTGTTATTTTTCCAAATTATCGTACGCCTACAGTAGCATGTGCTTTAAACTTTTAAATTGGGCACGGTTAGATTTTTTTTTGCACTAAATTAACAGTGTTCCAGATGGTTTCCAAATAATGATACAAATGCTTTACTTTTGTTGTACTGTAGACTATTTTAGGTCAGTGTGCCATGCAACCTATAGTATGACTTTCAAACAGCTCCTTTTGTAAACTCGATGCCAAACCGTATGATTGACACAACTTGGCTGAGCGCGGTCCCTCCTCTCGTCTCTTCCCGGCGTCCCCACCTCTCCTCTCGCCTCTCCTCTCTCTCCTCCTCTCCCTCCCTCGCTCGCTCGCTCTCGCTGCTTTCCCTACTCGTCAAACGCCGGGCTGCGCTCACCGACTCGACACCGCGGACCAGGGATGCAGCGAGGGCGCAGCGCAGCCTGAAAAATGGCACCGCCAACACCACCACGCGTACTGTGGATCTATCCCTCCTTTTACCTCTACTCTTTCCTGTTCGTTTCTTGTGGAGCTTTACGGAATTACCCAGACAATGAAGGTAAGGCGTGTTTCCAAAGTGTGTTCCCCAGGAGTGTGGCAGTTGTCACGGGGCGTAAGGACCTCTCTGCCTCGCTGTTTGACGACTCCCGCTAAGTGCTTGGGTTAGTTATAAAACATGCAAGAGAAATATAGTCACGTTTTTCATTTCCCGAGCATACCCCTATTAAAATTGCATGACATATACACAGAGCCACGCTGGATATAGCCGCTGCTCGCTTGTGTTTTCTTCTTTTTATAGAAGTAGTTCAACTTGTAATAATTAGCATAACGACATTAGCGCAGGACATGTGCGTCTTAATCTTGGATGCGTAAAGATTAAGTGGTGGTTTCCTGATTTGGATATATACTTGAAGAGGCGCAATTACGTTAAATTTGTCACACTGCTTCTGCGCGTCTCGGACTTATTATATTAACATTGATGCTCATCTTGGAACGAGGCAATGAATTTACTTATTAGCCTAACTATCCCCGTCTTGCGCGCACTGAACTGTTGTTGGTGATTAAGTTAAGTTGATCAAAAGACAGAAGATGCTATTACTGTTTAAACATTTTTGGCATGGAAAATGTGGCACTGGCACTGTTTAAAATGTGGATTTTGTGCTTATAGTGCCATGAGATGTGTCATACACTGAATTACATCTTTTTATGGCTCTATCAGTTAGGCTTGTTGGAGTGCACGCTATATCTCCACGGAGCAATTGCCAGTGGGAAAGATGCAGCGATCAAATCAAAAAGTGAGCACAGATGTGAGGTGACAGACCACACTGGGGCTGGCTAGGGCTTCTACCTCTGGGATAATTTAACAGTATAAGTCACTGTGTACATATAGACCATATACATCTGACTGAATGTGTGTCAGACAGCCCCCCCAGGAGTGGTAATAGAAAGACAAAGAGAGGAGAGGATGGAGAGGGACCAAGCAAGTATACTGTTGGAAGTAAGAAACAATGGATTTGAAATGTTGGTTTAAATAAGTGAATAGGTCTAAATTAGTCCAATAAAACAGAGAAACGTAATAAAAAGCAATTCACACAAGCTTGCACGCAATTTGTATTCAGAATTATTGAAATCTATCAGTCTCTCTCTTGTATTTCATGTCAGACTAAGTTTCAAGGTTTTAAGTAAACTACCTTTATAGCTTTGATCAAACTTACTATATTATAATACTTAACATCAGTTCAGTATTTGAAATTCACTGCAATTCTTTACTTGTGACTCTTCCCTCCCGGAGCTGCCACACTGTGTCACTTGCCCTTCTCACACACATTAATTTCAGTGTTATTTAGTGTTGATTAATGCTGATTTTGATACCTACACCAGATGCCCTTCCACCCATCTTAATTCACCCAGACATGAAACTGGCTCAAAAGAGAGGTTGCAGACGGATTATTTGAAGTTCATTTATACTGTTTAAATTCTTGCAAATGCACTGCTGCTTAATAATTGACATAATTGTTATAGCTATGATCAGTAATTAGTAGCTCTTAATGATTTTGATTAGCTTTCTCTGTGTCTTGCTGTTTCAGACTGGTCTAATTGGCACTTTGGAGGGCTCACTTGCTGCATGTGTGTTTAGCGCATGTCTCCATTGGGGCACAAACCGAATAACACCCCTTTGTGCCGAACACTTCCCACAGTGTTTTACCTTACAGCCTTCTATCTCGCCTTCACCTGCTGTGACTTCAACAGCTTCGAAGATTGCTCTTTTCTGCGTACCATCCTTTGTGTACGTGTGCCTATCACTGTGTGCATCTCCCACCCACTCCCTCCATGGAGCCTTGAGGCTATCTTATATCATAAAAAAGTCCAATATTTCTCTCAAAGCTCAATTAAGAACAAAAGGCTTTGAATGGAACAGAGAGGCCGAAAGTACTGTTAAGCTGTCAACAAGCCTGTTGTAGTTTACCAGTGCGGCTATTGATTGGGCACAAAATTGGTGACATTTTACAAAGAAGGCTGTTATGAGAGTTGGATTTGAGGTATTGATCAAATTTGAGAAAATTGCGTGTGACTGGCAAATCCATAGCGGAAACAGGCTTGTTTATTTGTTGTAATAAAGATGATCTACTGTATAAAAGAGATTAAATGAGTTGCGCCAGGGTGGTGGTGTAATTGTCTTGACCAGTAGAGGGAGCTCTCCACATCCCCAGTAAGCTGCCCCAGGCAGTATGATGCTCTCTGCTCTCCTCCAGGTCTCTTTTGTCACACTGTCCTTTCTGTTTGGATCTATTTTGGGATGCACAGTGACATCCTGACATTTCTTTTACCTCTACAGGTTTTGTTACAGCTATATTCTTTTCACAAGAAGTCCAGACTCAGAAGCAAATCTGGATATGTATTTTACTTTGTAAGGTCGTCAGGACCTGTGCAGAGTTACAATCACATACTATTACTCTTTATATTTACAACCCCAATACAAATACTAATGTATACTTTTCAAGGACAATAAACTTTCAAAAAGTCCACACAAAATTATATAATTTATGGCATTTTACTCTATTCACAGTGTCCAATGAAAATAGAAGAACTTGAGAGTACAGTATTTCCAACCACAGAGTAAAGCACATTACAGTGTATATACTTAATTTCTCAAATACATCTGATCTGAGATATAACAATGCTCTTACACAAGAGAAATTATGGCCAAAACTTTCTCCAAGGCACAGAGTGGATGCTGTCATGCAGCACTGAAATTCTATGCAAATGTTTATCTTAAGAATATGATTTTAAGGTTTAAGAAGAATTTAGAGCATTGCAAGTAACACAAATCATCATTGCAAGTCATACAAAAATGTAATTCCTTGAATACAACCACTACTGCCTCACCACTTGCTAATAATTCTACAAAAAAAATAAGCAGAAACTTTTTTTTACGCCTTCTATCAACAGCAATCAAGGCAACAAATAACTTAAATAATAGTCATCCATCCATTCATCACCTTTTGTATTTCTTGATTTAATTAAGAGTAAAGCAGAAAAACAAGAATGCCACAATACTGTAAAATCCTCCTGGGAGCGTGGCCTGTTTTATGGTCTGGGGCCTTACTGTAATCTGCACTTCATCTTGAGCCTACACATTGAGCTTTTCATTGGATTGGCCTCGGGGTGCTGCGGAGCTGATGGGTGCTGCGAGCAGGGGGCTCAGGGCTTATTGCTTGAGCAGGGTGAACATGAGGGTGAGCCGTTAGCGGAGAGTCAAACATATGTAAAGTGTGCCCCACGTCTTATGATTCACACAAGATCCGGACTACGTTATAATGTGGGGTCAGAGGTCGCCTTTGCTTTAATTGCTTTAATCTATAATGGTTGCTTGTAGTTATCGGCAGAGCTATACCTCATGTGTGCCTGTGTGTGTGCCTGGGAGATTGTAACAGCCATGACCTTGGGCAGAAGAGGATATAGATCTAGCTTCTCATCTGAGCGGAGAGAGTGGGCTGGCCGGAGCACCCTCTTGCTACTGCTTTATACTTAATCCCTGCCTTCATTGCGCCCCCCTGCCTCACTGCCTTCGATCTGCCCCCTGCTGAGTGGCCATCTCTCTGTAGTCCATTCTTAAGCTCTTCCTGAGATGTTTGTGGTCATGTTTTCTACCAAAGATTCTATAACTTTATAAACATAGTAGTTGCAGTACAATAATACAGTGCCACAGGAGATCAGCCACAAGACACAGTTTTTGACCTGTCCCAAGCTCGGAGAAATGGTGAGTCAAGCTTTGTGTCAAGAAGGGCCAGAGAAGGACAGGAAAAGAGTTCATGACAGATTTATTTAACCATCTGACTGTGTAGTACAGTTGTGCCAGACTTGGACTAGACGAATACCTCTCAAAGAGATTTCACAGGATGTGCTGTAGCCTATACACGCAGCCTTTTTCCAAGGACTAGTCACATTTTAGAAATCATGTCATCTCTGAACACTATAAATCAGATTTTCCTGGCATGCCAGTTTCATCATTGGCCTTAAATTCTGATAAACATCTCGATCTGAACTTGGACAATAGTTCAATAATCTTACAACTCCAGCCATGCAACTACGTGCCACATGCGCAAACTATAGAAATCTAATCTGGGAAAGGACATCTAAACTGTAAAAGCCGCAGTATGTAGATTTCTGCACAAACAAGACAACCTCACTTTCTGTCATGATAGTTTGTGAAATTCCTTCTCCTTTTGTTTTGCCCTTCCCCTCGCATGACCTTAAATAACAGTGTAACCACAGGAGCCATGCCTGCAGCCTCTGTATGTTTTCTGTAATGAGCTGTAGCCCGTATATATGCTTAACACAGGCTCATTCTGCTGCTCCTGCACACACACACACACACGCATGCAAACACACACACACACACCTACACATATCCTGGACTAATGTATGGCTGGAGGGCACTTAGGTGGTCTTGGTCCAGAGAGCAGTGTCACATATTCCCCCGGCTGCCTGATAGATGGCCTTATAAATACACTACAGTGACAGAGGGGGATCCTGCTACACTGAGCTTACCTAAGGATTAGTGAGTGAATGGAAAATAAACAATGATGAGAGGAACTGTTGTGTCTAATGCGATGCTAGGCCAAAGTATGTATTTTGGCCTGACTCAGACTTTATGACAAAAGCTGATATAGGAAAGGCAATACTTTCTCTTTGGTTGTTAGTATCCATTTAGTTACCCTTTTAATAACTGCACTTAACAAAGATTTAATAAAGAACAAAAAGAATGATTCAAGCCTGGTAACAACTTAATTAATACCCTAACCTTTACGCCTTAACCCTACCCTTTATTTAAGTCGTTACTAAGCATGAATCATTAATTAACTATTTGTTCATTATGAATTATTTATAAGTATTTGTTTCTGGTGTATTAAGGCTAATGTAGACGTGGTCAATATAAAATTGTATCATTTTTTGTGTATTTTCAAACTCAAAGTAGCAATCATTTGCTGGACTTAAAAATATTAAATGAATTGGGTTTTGTTAACCAGCATGTATGTGGTCAAATCCTGCTACCAC